GAATACTAGCAGCTCCGACGCTCAAACCTAACACAAGGCACGTCATAACGGACTCAACGAACCGCTCCAACACCAAGTGGATATTATCCCACCAAAGTCGAAATAATGGTCAAGCAGGTTGATCTCCGACTGCTAGACAAACGATATTGAGAAGCGTTAGTATATTTACTCTATGTGAAATTCCTAAACAATTACTTCCCCTTTGTTAACATTCTTTGGAAAGCCGAGTATGTTGGAATATCTGTTCGACCTGCACCCGGATAACTGGACTGGCCAATTTGTTCTTGTGTATTTGTATATAGCCGGTTGCCGAACTTAATACATTATCGCTTTTAGACTTCTCACAGCGCCCGCTACTATTTCCAACAGAGCACACTTTGTAAATTACTTTTCAAGGAGTTGGCCATTGTCACTTTTTGATTTCGCACAAGCTAGCTACGCAATAATTTAAACGGTCCCCACGGTCCGCGTCTGGGGTAGGGCTCAGTATAGCACATGTCTAGTGCGCACCAGTTACCGACAACTTCGGTAATTTGTTTCTTGGATGGAGTTCTGTGTTCGAAAACGTCTAAAATATATCGTAAATCAATCACACTGTAAGGTAGGTGTATTCATAACGGTATGCTTCCGGACCGTAAGAAATGAACGTAAGATTTGTGAACGTAAGATTTCGAACCGGGCGTAAGTTTTCACAAAGTTAAGCAAAAATAAAGACACATGGCCACTCTCAGTTGAAGATAATTGGAAATAGTGAAACTATGTGTTGCAGCGGCTGGTCTTTGGTCATTGTTGTCATTGCAAGGAGATGTTGTGCACTCACTGGTTTGAGGACTAAAGGCTTATCTATCCTAGGGTCTTGGAATACTATACTGGCAATTGCGGCTTTTATTTCTAACTGGTAATTTCCAAGATACACCCTCTGTGTGACAAGTAATTATGGGGATACCATCCCACTGACAGATCCATTACGGTCATATTCATTATTCCTCTTACTTGAAGCTCATGTATACTAAACAGAAGACCGTCAGCAACAATTGCCCAATAGGAAAACTCTCGTCACTTGAGTTGCCTATGAAATTCAAACCACAGTAGCCGGTACAATATTATGTGCCTTCACACTGCCACGATACCTCTAACTCACTGCTTGTGAGAACAACCAACACACTGGTCAACCTACTATTCAACTACAGGTTTCGAATTTCAATGGGAAATACTGTACCAAGCACGATACCTTGATATTTACATGTCATAAAGCTCAGTAAAGTAGGTACAAAAGGACTCGGGGCTCATCAAAAACACAGTTTTTCATTAAGTCTGCGCAACTGCACCTATAGCTAAAGTATACTACTTCTAATACGAGGTGTTCTGTAATTAAAACTAAGAATAGTTTGTGATACTGCATCCTGTAGCAAATTGGATCTTTTTAGTCTCGCTTCTCAACTCTGGTTTTCAAAAAGTTACGTTAGGGTTCCAAAAGTTACGTTCACAAATCTTACGTTCATTTCTTACGGTCCGGAAGCAAGCCGTATTCATAGCTACAAGTCGCCAAATCTCATGATCTACCAAATACAATAAGTGGCTGTGCAGTGAGGGTTCATTTGGAGTGCCAAAGCATGAGTGGCATGTTGGAAGTGGACAGATCTTAGAGTATGCTACAGTGTAGTGTCGTTGAGTTAGGTTGGCAGCTAGCGTGTAGTATAATACTACGTGTCATCTTAGACTTCGACAATCAATCGATTCAACGAAGAGAGTCGGTTCAACATAGCAGTACGGAACCCATGGGAGGGATAGACTCAACCAGACGGTAGTGATTTACCGTCTCCATTCACCACTCGGGTACACCACTAGATGCACAGCGTTTAGTCCGCCCCAGGATAGCCGAGTTATATTGTCTCTAGCGAGCTCTCAGACACTCGACTTCTGCGGACCGCTAAACCCTAGCTGGCCAAGAAACACTGCCCCCAGCCGGTCCCCAGGTGCGCTCTATGATTATCATTATCGCAAGTTGAGAAATATGGTACATGGATTATGAGATATTCTAGAATTCTCTAAGATCCTCCTCGATAATTACGCAAGCCTCGCAAGCCTCGCGACAGTATACTGGTTCGTACCAGTATACCAGCAAATACCAATACAGACAAACAGTTGGTTGGTACAGTTTGAGAAATTGCTGGTACAGTTGGAGTGTTATAAACTGCAGTACAGATGCAAAATTATACTGGTATACTGGATTATACTGTTGGTATGGTTGCGGCTGCACTTTCGCCCACTAACCTTGTGTGCTGGCCTAGAAAGGAAGTGGCGATGCATGTGAGAATAGCATAATTACCAGTGTTCCCAATGGGCCAGGCGGGCCAGTTTCAGGTCAGAACTGGCCTGGCCCGCGCGTGACAGGCCAGGCCGATGAACGGCCTATGTCTACAGGCTTCACGCTGGTGGAAACCATGGGTGACTGGGCCAACCATAGTTCTCATGGCCTACAGTTTAACTGTGGGTGCCTGTAGGTAACTATAGTTTCGAGATATATAGTACAAGAGTTATGTGGCCTTGCCACTCTTTCTAACCACCACATATGCATAGATGATGGAAGCCAATGGTGTGAGTCATATATTGTGAAGAACTGAGTGGCAACATCTAGAGACTACTAGAACGTACTCCGAACCACTACAGATTGCCAACCGCAATGGTGGCGTACACTATTATCAAAAAGCCTATAGTTGGCCCAGTCACCCACAGTGATTGCCAGGCTTCGAAAGCGTAGGCCTAGCCTGCACAGTTATTAATTTCGGGGGCCCTGACTGGCCTGGCCTGTGGGCCGCAGTCCTGACTGCGGGCCGGCCTGGCCCATTGGGAACACTGATAATTACTCGATGATACTTACTAGTGCATGGCAAATCATGTACCACGCCTGCGTATGAATGACTGTGTTCTTATTAGTGCTCGTTTGTACTGGCAGTTTTTCAGTTATACCAGTATATACTAGCAGTTTTTGTACCGGCAGTTTACTGGTACAAACCAGTTCAGTATACCAGTATATACGTCTGGACCGTCTGGTACAGTTTGTGGATTCAAACAGTTGGTATTACATGGTTCAGTACAGTTTTACACTCGATCCTGTACCAGTTTGTACTGTTGCGAGGTTTGCAGAGCTGGCTCTTGGCTGGCTGGAGATGATCGTCTCGGCTGGGTGGACGCGATCTATACGGGCTAGTTCTCACCTGACTGGAGATGATCGACCTGGGTTAGCTCTCGGCTGGCGGTATGCGATCGAGCCGGCCTGGACAGAAACATTAGCATTTCGATCAGCTGTGCTTGGAGGTTCACTTGGAGGTGCAATTGGAACAGCACTTGGAGCCGGGGGAGGCGCGTTGGATGCAGGCTGGCTGGAGACGGTCGAGCTGGGCTGGCTCTTAACTGCTGGACGCGATCGAGCTGAGGTGGCTCTCGGCTGGCTGGAGATGATCGTCTCGGCTGGCTGGACGCGATCGACACGGGCTGGTTCTCGGCTGACTGGAAATGATCAAGCTGGGCTGGCTCTCGGCTGGCTGGACGCGATTGAGTCGGGCTGGCTCTTGTCTGGCTGGAGATGATCGTCTCGGCTGGCTGGACGCGATCGTGCCGGGCTGGCTGGACGCGATCATGCCGGGCTGGCTCATGGCTGGCTGGAGATGATCGAGCTCGGCTGGCTTGTTACCTCGACTAAAATTATCTGTACATTGTTGAGAGCAAATCAGAGAGGAAGAACGAATGTACTGAAGTACAAAGAGAGAGAAAGAGAAAGCTCTATATATGAGAATGAGCATCATGCCTGGAACGCGCCATACCTGGAGCCGGCCCGGAGTTAAGTCGTATCCGGGGCCGAGCATCTGGAGCCGGATGACGTGCTCAAGTCCGGGTGGATGACTGTTGCTCTCGGCTCGATGCCCGAGAAGGCTCCGGCCACACCTCCGAATGACGTCGAGAGCCTCCGGGCTAAACTCCGAGCAGTGACATCAGTCAACTAGCGTCAACTATCTATTAGCCTTGCAAATAAAGAGAGTGACCGTGAGAGAGAGAGAACTATCATAGAGTTGAACTTAGAACTTAGAACTTAGAACTTAGAACTTAGAGTGCAAATACCGTTGAAAGTAAGAGGGTGGAAAAGGGAGTGGAAAAGGGGTGCTTGACATGGTATCTCCCACACCAGGCGTAGTGAGGAAATGGCAGTCAATCACTTTGCTTGCATCCATGTCTTAGCTGGATGCAAGCAACCTGATTGGTCGAGCCGATAGCCGGGTAACTTGGAACGACCTGGCTGGGCGCAATTGAGCCAAGTTAGCTCTTGGCTGTCAGGAGGAGGTGAAGAAGAAGGGTAGAGGAAGGTGGTAAATGTGCAGTAGTATTAGTTCACAGGCAGGGGAAGGGAAAGGAGATTTGGAGGGTATGACTTGGACCCAAAGAGGGCTGCACAGACACCCAAAGCTTACACTGGAGAGGTACCAGGGAAAAGGATTTAGATATGCCATAGCCACAAGTGGCCGAATGCAATATGATTAAAATAAACAAACTCACAATCAACCGTAACCCAAAAGAAGTGATGACATACTCCAACAACCGCTCCAACAAGGCGGTGATTGACTTCCTGGCGGCCACAGACATTGGAAAGTTCCCGCCTATGTGAGGCGTGGAGGTTGGTGGTATTGATCTTTTCTTTTCTTTTCTTTTGTCATGGGATTTTTGTTAGGGGTGATCAGTCTTTTACATTTCTTTTTCTTTTGTCAGCGGGGACGAAGAGTAGTAGGTGGGAGCTGCACCATCTAACTGGCTCGCCTGGAGGTGGAGGTGATAAGGGCCCTGTCATACTCTAGCTAGAGTAAACACAGTATGAATAAACAACAACAACTGATAGTAGTGAGTAGAATAAAGCAGGCTCAATTATCTACCGTACAATGAAGGAGAGAGAGACAGGTTTATATGTGAGAGAGAAGGCACCATGCCCGGTGTTGAGCTACATAAATGAGTAAGCTAGCTAGGAGTCGAACCTAGGACCTTTCTGATACTAGACAAATGCACTGATCACTCCGCTACCAGCCTTTGATGATTGACACATTCCAACTGCGGGAACTGTGCCATACCACGGCCGGTGCCTCCGGCTCGAAGCCCGAGAAGGCTCCTGCCATATCTGAGTGACGTTAAGTGCCTCCGAGTTAAACCCCGAGTAGTTAGTGACTTCAGTCAGCTTCCAGCATCACGAGATTGGGTTGTGATTAATGGAAGCAACGGAGAAGAGGATGTTAGCACAGCCCATCATTTGTCGGTTTTGAAGTTTCCGGACAACCTTGTCCGGAGACTTGATTTGGGATATACACTACCATCAATACCATTAACAGTCTTGCGAAAATCGCATTCTCCCTTTCATACTCCAAAAGTCACGATGTTTGCGGGATCTTGTTGAGAGCAATTGAGCGATTGAATTGTCTATCGTACAAAATCTGAGAGAAGGAAATCAAGGGCTCTATATACTCAAAGAAAACTGAGGTTTCGCGGAGAAAACATCGTGAAAGTGCATTACAAATTGCCAGTGGCTATGCAGGTGGCGAGTGACTCACCATGTATGAGCCTACTCGGCGACTTCGCAGCCACTCTCCATTCCATTCAAGCAGCTTCGCTAGCCTTCTAGAAACTCGTAGGCCTTTCGGGTTAAATATTTAGTCAACAGATCTGCATCTTGGATGAGTTTCTGCTCGCTCTACCATGCACACTTTTACAGCTATCGTCATATGTAACTTCTCCGAGATATTGTTTTAGTGGCGGTATTTCGTGTGTGACTCTGTCGTAGTGCCTGTGTTGAAACCATGAAAAGAATGGACTGGCTAAGACTAGTCAATTTTTCAAATATCTAACAAAGCTAAAACCCAGCCCTGATCAGAGTCATGCTAAGAGTATGGAGCAAAAATCGGAAAAGAAGCTGGAACGACAATTAATCAGCTCGACCAACGACTGTAATTAACTGAAATAACGGATTTGTATGCGGACTTTGAGCGCTAACCACTTTTTGTCTCCTAATCCCCTTCGTACGGTATTACCGACGCGTGGTTTTCCGAGTTTTGATCGCATACCCGAGTTTCAACTTTTTTTCCCTCTCTGAAGCAGATATAGAGTATTACTCCTGGCTGTATCGAGAAAAATATCGAAATCTGAGATGTTGAAATCCAACTTACCTGCATACGGAACCATAATTTCCTGTCGTTTGCGATCATTATATACAGTGCCTTCGTAACTCCTGGATCGTTCAAAGTAGCCCCCACAAAGCGTGAGCTTCGGTGTATCGCATGGGTATCTGCTGGCGAGTAGTAAGAGTGGTAAAGGGTAGCATCGGTGTTGAGAGCAAATCAGAGAGGAAGAACGAATGTACTGAATTGTCTACCGTACAAAGAGAATAGAAAGTAGCTGGCTTATATACGAAGGAAAAGCACACCTAACCCAGAGACCCAAGTGCTATCTCATGTAGAGCTGTAGAGCTAGGCTTCGTTGAGCTCACATCCGGAACTAGCAACTCGGTCGAAATAACTCCACCACTGATACCAGATCTCTATACTTAGCGCCTCCGGTAATCACAGGAACTCCTTCGGCCGAACTTCTGTCAACAATCGGCACTCCCGAAGATGTATCCGAGGACTCTCTTGTATATATTTCGGGTCTTTTTCCTTCCCTCTTCTCTCTGTAACTTAGTGTAAGCACACGGTTCTCCCCTTCATATCACTGCAACATGGTGTGTTACATATATAGATCTGACACGAGCTGACTGTAACCCGGATGATGGTAGGGCACAAGGTACCACTCTCTCTTGTATATCTTTAGTCTTTTCCTTCTGTTTCTTTATACTCTATACCTTAATCTATAAACGGAGTTCTCCCCTTCCATACTGCAACATGGTTGTTGAATAGTGATGCTAGAGAAGCTTAATTGTATCTTATCTAAGAGGGCCATAAGGCCATATATATATGAGAGTACAAGTACGGCTGAATGCCATCAGCCAGTATCAGAGTCAACAGTCATCTCCGGCCATATAAGACATCACCGTCTCCGCTCCGTCTGCGTCTCCGGCCATACAAGACACCGTCATCTCCGGCCATACAAGACACCGTCTCCGGCCATACGAGGCCCATCTCCGGCTGAAGCCTGTATATGCAATAATGGTGGAAAAGCGATGACCGAGTGACAATCGATGAATTCGAGATCCCCTTGGCGCCAAATGGTCTCATACTTAGCATGGGAGTTCATCTCTGTCATCTCATTAATAGCTGCAAACGGGCAAATAAACAATAAAACACACTCAAACAACGAAGACTCTATCAACACGGAAAGCACTGCGGCGACTTCGGTAGTTCAGCCTCCATTGCAAAGGGGAGAAGTGCCAATTGAGAGTTAAGGAGATCGGCTTCCCCGACTTCACGATAACAATTGATGATTGTTCGACTTCGAAATCTATCAGAGAAGCTCAAGTACTACTCGGGTTCATGAACTTCTGCTGGAGGTTCATCAGGAAATATGTGAAGGTGACCCTACCCATCACAGAGCTACTAAACCCCGGTGAGCCAAAGCAGAGCAATAAGCCCAAACCTTTGTCAAACCGGTTTCAATCAATCACACAAAGTGGGAGAGAAGAGAGACGCCGAATTGGCTTTCCGGAAAAATTAAGATTGTGAAGGCCCTCATGCAGACCTGGCCGCCATGCTTGTCGCCGCCTAGCCTGCACCAATTCTTGTGGCTGGAATGGTGCAGAACATTTTCCATCTAGCCTTTGCCGAGGATGAAGTACTTGGTAAGAGGATGGACGATGAATCACCCCCGGTATACGATATACGAACAGGGGTTGAGAAGATATCAGAGAAAGAATAAAAGTGCTGGATTGTCTGCCGTACAAAGAGAGAGAAAACGACAGGCATATATGTCAGAAAAAAATCATAAGAAACCAAAGAACCAAACAAAGAATCATGAACCGAGAACCGAGAGCTATACGGGGCTATCAGGTAGTCGAATGCCGGACCAGGCCCGAGGATACCTGGCAGCCGAGTACCGTATCAAGCCCGAGGCTAGGTTTAGTGCCCGACGGCCTTGGTGCTAAATCCTTAGTCAACGCCTCCGGTAGCTAGGCCCAGGCGCATCTCCTTCAACAATCTTAACCTCCCTGGGGTTGTCAGTTGTATGTCACCTCGGTGTCGGGTCATCGGTTTGGGAAGCTTCTACAAAAGCTACAGGTTGACGAACTAGTAGTTGGCACAACAATCGTACAGGGTGTACACGGATGCTCTTCCTTCGCATCTCCATCTCACGAGTGACTTAGGTAGGAGCACGACACGGGGGAGCAGATTCGGGCTATCACTGTTGGAATAAAATAACTTGATATTAATACACTTACGAACTCTGTCCCTCTCCGTCTGAACCCCTGTGCCCGTTCCCCCATATCCCATGCCTCCGGGGGTGTTGTGCATCAGATGCACCGCTATGGCGTGTCCCGCGTCATCTCCTTGTTGTTACCTTAGTGAGATTTTCATCCTATGATACTCTTTCCCGTCAGCCGTTGTGTCCGCTGCCGTTGCCACCTCCCCCGCGACCTCCATATCCCCACCACTCCCATCCATTGTCTCCGATTCATCTGCGGGCAATTCCATGCCCAGTTGCCGTCCGTGCTGTCGCAGCGCGCGCATTCGTTGTTCCTTGTGGCGGTCGGTAGCCTTGGTAGTTGCCGCTGTTCCGGTTCGCATTTCGCCGTAAATCGCGGTAAACCTACGGACTATCCAACCATTGCCGCTCTCTCCCACATCTATGTACAGGTCGACACTTAGCCCTACCACTCCCCTGTGCTATATTACCCTTGCAAACGCATACGAATTTCAGCACATCTATGGACAAAATATATCCTCTCTGCAAGCTCCATTCCGCAGCGATTTCCAGGATCTAATAGCTCTAATATCTACGGTTATACCTGCAGCTATACAGATGCTCTCATATCAGCTCTACAAAAACCCCTGCAGTTGTGCTGCTGAAAGAAAATTTATTTTAAGCTAAGCATTTGCGTGTGACGTAAGTATTCCCGGGAAAAGTTACTCGGGTCTGGGAGTAAAGGATCGGACGCTCCAGTTCGGGTAGGAAAGCATTCAGAACTGGCAAAGCGCAATTGTGCGACACACAATTTGGGTATAACTTGGCCAGGATAATATTCAAGACTGGAGTGCACTAACTTGCAACTAATAATCACCCCTGGTTGACACCCTGCTCTGCCAGCCAAATACAATACCAGAACAGGTGTATGCGATGCTTTATCCCCAGACCCGAGTAAATTAACCCGCTGTGGCGCTAATGTATACAGCGGGACGGGCCGCAGTGGGTAAATAAACATCTGGCTGAAATTCACAGACTCGCCTTGATGGTGGCCATACCGGCTACATGCCCCCGGTACCACGGTTAGAGTGGGGTAATAAGGAAGTAGGATAGTAGGGTTGTAACATAACGGTATGGAGGAGGGAGAAGTTTGGTGTAAATGACGGCACGGCAAAAGAAGTGCAAGGAATGCAGGGAAGGAGATAATGACGGTATCGCACAGGAGTAAACTGTAAGTAAGAGACGGACGGCAGGGGCTAAGCTAAGTTGATGGTTGGAAAGTTAAAGAACGTCGCATGTGCAGCACCGATTCCCGGCATATTCCGGCTAATCCCAACAGCCGTTTCATGATCCGATGCATTACCTTGAAGCGCCAAGAGCGAACATAACCATGCCAATTTAGCCAGGGTATGTATTATCATTCCGCCGATGCGCGATCGTCGTGCTGCCAAGTTTTGCTGTAACTGAAAAAATCTCGATCGACCTCTGGAAACGGCAGACGAACGCAAAGAGTTTCCCAAAATAGGACAGTGTGCATACCTAGAGTATAACATATTGTTTTGGAACGCGTCACGACACTACTTTGGTTATACTTTTGGGCGCTTTGCAGCTCAATACCCCTGAATCCTTTTTACTCCACCATCAACTCCTCCGTCTCAACAACAGCATAACGTCAACATCAAAGTCGATATCGCTACATTTTCCTGATC